AAAAAGTAGTCATAGTATTATTACTAGAATGTGACCAAGTAAAACCTCTAGTTGTAAAAATTTTAAAAAGGGAACACCACAAATTAAAATGCCACCCAGGGGTCACAATTGGGTTCACCAGTTTTCTATTGTTTTGTGTGTTTTGTGTGTGTGTGTGTGTGTGTGTGTGTGTGTGTGTGTGTAACTGATAGAAGAATTAAAAAAAAATCTCAGGAAACAAGCAACGCATTTTCAGAGAACAATGTATTCTCCTGCTCCTTCCAAGGGCTAATGACTAAGCAGTGAGTGGGAAATGTGGGTCAATGCATAATGTATTATTATCCACTCACCTGTATATACACTTATAAATGGTGTTTTCCTCCCTTACAAAACATAAATAGCCCTGCGGAAGCAACCGGGTTTCCATCATCCCTGACCTTTCAGGTAAAGGCAACATCCATTAACCAGTTTTCAGGGAGAAGGAAAAAAACATTCCTGGCTATCTTTAGAAAGTGGCAAGTTCTAGAACTTGTAAAAATTACCCAAAACACAAATAATGAAGAAAGTATCAAAACTTTTAAGATTTATAAAAAATAGGAAAATTATGAAAACAAAGTTAGCCAAGCATCTTTAAATGTTTACATAGCTGCTATTTGGAAAGTAACCCTTGCCAATTAGCTGCCTCTGAACCCATAGGGTTACCTGAATCCAGGGAGATTAATTATAACTGTAAACTGATTTGAAGTTACTCTTTTACTTGGCTGCCTGGTGCAGGGGAGAAGAGGCGCGGAGGAACATGTGTGTGCACCCACGGGTGGGCCTTCTGTGCCTGCTCCTGTGTGCTTGCACCCATATGCACACTGTGGTGAGTGAACTTGGTCTGGGACTGCACAGGGCGAAAAGAGCACGCTCCCTGAGTAGCCTGCCACTTGTGGTCTGTCAAATGACTGAGGTCCCAGAGAGACTATCAACTCAGCGGGTCAAAGGTGTTCATTTATGCAAACACATATGGGCAATGAGGAAAAAGGAGTCAGAAGGGGAGCACCAGGCACCTGCATCTGCACCATCAGCCAGAGTTCAGGGACACCCTGCTGGCCTACCTGAGCCCAGACTACCTGGGCATGAGGTGCCTGGTAAAGGGCTACCTGGGCACAGGGTTTTTTTGGTGCAGGACATTGAACTACCTGGCTCTGGGGCTGCTGGGCCTGGGACACCTGGGTTCAGAGCTATCTAAACCCCAAACACATTGACATGGGTACTTGAGCATCAGGTCTATCTGGGCTCCTGAACTACCTGAGCCTGAGCCACCTGGCTACATGGCTACGAGGCCTGGACCTCCTGGGTTCAGGAATACCTTGGGAAGAACTATTGGGGCACAGGGCTATCTGGGTACAAAACACTGGGCCAGGCATATCTGGGCTCAGAGATACCTGGGATGGGGTCACCTGGGCAAGGGGCCACCTGGGTGCAGATCCACATGGGTATGGGGTTACCTGAGCCAGGAATACTGGGCCTGGGTCACCTGGGTGCAGGACTACCTGAGCCGAGACTACCTGGGCATGGGAAAACCTGGCAGCACAGGCGCATCCACTCACCTGGTGCAGGGTCTGCGGCACCCTCCTCTCCGCTCTCATCAGCACCCTCCTCTGCCAGGCCAGAGCCTGGGGAGTCAGTGGCTGCGCAGGCCGATCCAGGGCTGCTGGGCTGTGAGACCGAATCGCCCTCGCTGAGTGAGCCGC